TAGAATGTCTACTCTAATTGTATAGTCACCAGACAAGAGTTGTTTGATAACTAATTCCAGGAAGTCTAGTTTTGGAAGTTAGAATTAAAATGTTCTATACTGCAAGGTAGCTCCTTAAGCAGGAGGTAAACAACCAAGTAGTAGCAGTAGTTGTTGCTGTTGTTGTTGTAGCTTCTAGAACTCCCTGAAACTCCTCACTGCTGGAGCAAACAGAGTTCATCAGCTGCGTGCCTTTAATCCCAGCACCCAAGAGGCAGAGGCAGGTGGATCCTGGTCTACAGAGTGAGTTCCAGGACAGACTTCAAAGCTACAGAGAAACCCTGTCTCAAAAAACAAAACAGAAGACTCTCAGACAAGCCAAACAAGAGATTCAGACTAAATGAGGCACTTCAAAGGACACTTTCCAACTTGCTGAGCTGCCTGCAGGCTGTGCAGTGTGTTCCAGGTCCTTGGCTTTTGTGACCAGTCACCCATGCTGGGGGGTGGGGGGCTTGGTGATACAGCTGTCTTGGAGTCATTTCTGCCCCTGTAAGTAACCCCTCACTCGTATTTCTGTAAGTAACTGCCATAAAACTCATTGGTTCACCAAGTTGGATTTTGGTGGTATACATATTTTGGTATGTCATAGGTTCCCTATCTGGGATGAGTAGATAATGTACATTGTGTCTCTCCTGGAACATTCTGCCACACAACAGGAGTTAATACCATATACTTATTGTTCTACTTGTTGTATAATTGACATTGGTAATTTTAAAAATGTTTCACCTTTATATTTAATCTTAATAACACCATCAGATGGGTAAGAAATTCCACAATCAGAGAGTCCATATGGATTCCATCCTACAGAACAAAATATTTCTGTATAGGACTATCTCTCTATCCAGTAAAAGGTTTAGTAGAACCTCAGTATGTAGCAGTTTACCTAACTTGCTTTAAAATGCAATTTATTTAGCTAAATTATTTATTTAGAGAGAATTATTTAGAGAGAATTTCAGCTGCATAATTTAGGATAAAAGCAATATTCTTCTTGCATTAATGCCATGTTAACAAATGTTTATACATATTTAAATAAAAATACAAGGCAGATAACATCACATTAGCTATGTTACATGCATCCCTTGATGTCCACGAAATTAAATAAAATTATACTAGCATTCATGAGTGAAACAAAATAACCTTTATGAACTGAAGTTAATGTTTACCTATTCCATTCCAGTTAGACTATGAATCTTTCATGAAATAGTCCTAGTTGGGTATTAGTCACACCTTCCAAGAATAAATCATTCTCATGTCACCTCAGCTTCATCAAACTTTCATGAAGTAAAAAGCCTTCCAAGACCATGCACAATAACATCACTTTATAAATTATATTTGATGCAGACACAATAATGAACATAAAGAGTGTCTAATAAGGAAAGAAAAACAATTTCTCCCCACTTCAGCTAAATGTAAATGGCTTGCGTGGGAAGTACACAGTGCAGCAACCCAAGACTAAGTTAAGTGTGGTAATGTTAAGGTATTATTGTTCTTGTCACTATAAAATCACATTTTTCAGAGAATGCTGTAGCTTTTTCAATGATATCACAATAGTTTTCCAAAAGAATGTGTTTTTAACATAAACTTATATCCTCATAGTTTATTGAACAATGGAAATATTTAGCTTCTACCTTGGTTGTGACCAAATATTGACTTGCCATTAGTTCTAGGTCATTCCTTTGGCATTTGGGTAAAGATGTTTTACGTAGACTGCCTAATGGAAACATCATATTGGATCAACTGCAAAAGATCAGTCAGGAATACTAATGAGCATAGTGATGACTTGGAAAAATGTTCATAATAAGTGCCTTTCTGTCTGAATACTATATATACTACCAGCCTGGTAGTTCCTTAGTAGGTGGGTGGAAGTTGAAACCAAAAGTCAGATCTTAGGCAAGAGACACAGACAAGAGAACTTCACACAAATTTTATTATAGTATTAACTGTTCTATTTTACTATCATTGACAGTTCCCTCCTGTGACTGATTTATGAGTTAAAGTTTATCGTAAGCCTGTATCTATGGGAAAAGACACAGGCTATATAACATTCACTACTAGCCACTTTCAGGTGCTCCCAGAAAAGTAGAAGAACTTAAAACTACTGTAGAATGTCTCTCCAGCAAAACTAGCTCTGAACCAGACATGGCAATCTGAAGCAAGCACACTAAGACTATTGTTTTCTGCATATCTGGGGGTCATGTTTAAAAAATATTAATAGAAAATTATTTCAAACTTGATAATCACTGCTCTACCATGCTTTTGCACTTTTGTAAGAAGAGTAAATGTGCAAATTGTTGGGCAAACATAGAACTTTAAAAAGACTATGCAAAAACAAAAAACAACAAAAACCATAGAATATGATTCAGGTTCTTCATGATGTCCACATCATCTTTAAAACTAAAAGGTGTCCAGAAGTGAAGTCTAGATTGAAAGGTGTGAGCTTTTTTTTTTTTTTTTTTTTTTTTTCTTGCTTTTAGTGCTTTACTAGGCTGGGACGATATTTGTTTGTGATGAGAATACATTTAGGACAAGGGGTGTGCATATAAGGAAAGATTAAAGTAGAAAATAGTGAGCAATTATGCAAAATCCAACCCTACTACAGTTTCTCAAGACATCAAATTTCTAATTTTATTTTCAGTTAAATGAAAGCAGCCATTTCAGGGAAGAGTTGGGATTCAGGTCAGGGCTAACTTTTCAGAATAACAGTTCCAATTCCATAAGCCTATAAATTGAAATAAAAAGCCAAATGCAAGCAATACATTTCAATCACATTATAAGTTATTTTAAAAAATGGTTCTTTCAATCTTTGGCCAAAACTAGATCTGGGATAGATTCCAGGCAGAGACAAAAATGCAAAATCCATACTCTCCATTCTTTGATTATTTTACCTTAAAATGGATACCCCATATGGTTAATCAAATTTGAAAATGTCTGGTTCATCTTCTCCATTTAGTCAAATTGACTAAGTAACTTCTAAATTATTTAAATTAGGTGTGTCTTCCTATTTTTAACCCAGTATGTATTTTTCTTGCGTCAGAAACTATGGGCAGAAAAAACGTCTATAAAATTGAGTCAGCTTCCAATTGGTTTGGAGAGGGATCTGGGCACAGCTGTGCTGCTGTCATCCAGCTCAAATAATCCAGGTTAGTGATAGGATTAGACTTCCAACTCAACAGACATTGGGAAAACAAAAGTCGGGAATTCTTCTGAAACACCAGGTCACTTAGGAAAGGATTCAGGATGAGGAGATACAAATAGCGGCTCTGTAATTGGCCTGACAGGAACGAAGACATTCTTTTGTGTCCCTCAGCTGCAACAACTGACCCCAGAATATTTCCCTGGGGAATCTCATGCTGGGAGAAGGAAAAGATTCAAACGACCCTTTTACAGGAGTCACATATCGGATATCCTGCGTATCAGATTCATGAAAGTTATAAAGTAGCAATGAAAATAATTTTATGGTTGATGGTTATTGTTAGGATAAATCCTGGTGAACCTTGGCGCATTCCAAGGCAAGCACCAAGGAGGAGAAGAAGGGGGAGGGAGGGAGGAGACCTAGGAGACCAAAGAGGAGAGTAAGTGGGCGGAGACCTTTCAAGGGGTCCTTTGCACCTGGGCTGACCAGAGTACTGCCTGAGTGCATCCTGCCAGGTGAGGGCAGCCTAATGCCTGAGTCCTTATAATCACAATATGAGGAACTTTATTGAAGAGTCACAGTATTAGGAAGGTTTGAGGCCCCCTGGGCTAGATGTTCATATCCATGCTTACCTATCTAAACCTTCACTTCAGGACCTCAGAGACTGACTTCAGTAGTGGCTGCTCGTTGGACGTCTTTGGTTCTCCCTTTAGCCATATTAAGCAAGTCTTTCCACTGTTAATTTGGCTGTCTTTTTGTTTGTTTGTTTGTTTTGTTTTAATAATTTGTTTTACAACCCAGCCATTTAAAATATCTTTACATCAATAAACAGAACAACTTGGCTACAAGAATCAGAAGTGACTTATCTCAGAGAGGGTATATTTGTAGTTGGATGCAAATATTTTTGAAGAATATTTGTACCAAATTATGGTTTTGTTAGAAGCATTTTGATTTATCTATTTTTACCCATTAAAACTGTAAAACAAGTATCTTGTGTTCATTTTATGGATTAGAGGTCCTCACTCACTGTGTCTGCCATGCCGAATTACAGCTGTTTATCTTGCAAATAATTTGGTTGTTTTAATTGGGTTCTCCAGAAAGGTTTATGGGGAAGGCCGGGAGGTGGGCAACAGACCTTTTTACCATGACACGTAGCTCTTTGAGGGGGTCAGTTCTTGGGGTGTGGTAAAATACCTGCGAACACCAGACAGTGTGAGTTCCAGACACTGAGGAACCACGTGGTCCCTAACAAAAGTGTTTTGCTTCCTTAAAGATTAGTAACCACAGCTGGGCGGCGGCCGTGGTGCACGTTTTCAATCCCAGCGCTCGGGAGGCAGAGGCAGGAGGATCACTGTGAGTTCGAGGCCAGCCTGGTCTACAGAGCGAGTCTACAGAGACAGAGAAACCCTGTCTCGAAAAACAAAACAAACAAACCCAAACAAACAAACAAAAATGACTAGCAAGCAGTCAAACTTCCCGAGTCAAGGCTGTCCAACACTGGCTCCTTTTGCTCTCTTGGAAATTACAAGCATTCACGGATGAAACACGGCAAATGGCAAACTGCAGAGTATCTGGATCGATGGTGTCATCATTGGTTAGGTTATTTTCATATTACTAGCGTTTTAGAGACTTCTTATGGGTCAGGCAACAAGCTACACAAAGCAAGAAGGTTTACATTACAGCTCACAACCACCATCAAGTTTTACAGGCAGAATGCTTGTGCTTGGAGGTGGGAATGGGCGTGCCCTTCACAGTGACGTCACCGGAGAGCGAGGCGGGGCGTGTGCTTCCGAGCTGAGGACGCTTCGGTTCCGGGTCACACGGGAGTGCGGAAGCGAGGCTGGCGCCGCCGGTTCTGAGAACGGTGGCTTAAGCGGGCATGAAGATCACCAGGCAGAAACACGCCAAGAAGCATCTTGGCTTCTTCCGCAACAACTTCGGAGTCCGTGAGCCCTACCAGATCCTTCTGGATGGCACTTTCTGCCAGGCGGCGCTGCGGGGTCGCATCCAGCTGCGGGACCAGCTGCCCCGCTACCTGATGGGGGAGACCCAGCTGTGCACCACGAGGTGGACCTGCGGGGCGGGGTCGCGGGTGTGGACGGGGACTCTGGAGGTGCAGGCGGGCGGATGAGTCTGTTACCGCCCACGGTTACTGACAAGTAGTCCAGGCGGGTGGTACTGACTGGGCCCTGCGAATGTTCCCTGTTGTCCGTGCGCAAATCGAAACGAGTATTTTGTGGCAGGCAGGCCTGGCTTTTGACCCTGGTCCCAGTCTTAACGAGCTGTGTGATTTCAGGCAAGAAATGGCGTTAATTGTGAAGTACAGGGAATAACTTCTTAAAAGTTGATGTAGCGTCAGGTGAGATATTGTGTACATAGGACATTTTTCAGAATACAAAAGCTACCTCCCTTTCTTTAGTGGTTGGTACCTTATCTTCAATTCCTAGGGAAAGAAGTTAAGACTGAGGATTGAAACTTTTGCCCAAGTTCATTTATAAGCACCAACCAATGTCAAGCGCCGTTCCAGACACTGAGGACAGTTAGAGGGCAGGACAAAGGCCCAGCCTTCATGGGCTGTAAAGTGTATAAAGTCAACTCTCAATGGCTGTTTCCATGCCGTATCCGTGCCTTCTCACTTCGTGTAAGTGAGGATACTTAATCCCAGCACCCGGGAGGCAGAGACAGATGGATCGCCGTGAGTTTGAGGCCAGCTTGGTCTACAGAGCGAGTTCCAGGACAGCCAGGGATACACCAACTATCTAAAAAAAAAAAAAAAAAAAAAAAAAAAAAAAAAAAAAGAATGTAACTTGGGGGGGATTTTTCTTTCTTTCCTGAGACAGGGTTTCTCTGTGTACCCCTGGCCATCATGGAACTTGCTCTGTAAACTTGGCTGGCCTCAAACTCATATCTAACTGCCTCTGTGCTGGGATTAAAGGTCTGTGTCACCACCAACCAGCTACTTAGGGAATTTTTCAAGCAACATAAAGTAGAATGATGCAGCAAAATATTGATACCCAGCATTTGCAGATACCTGTATGCTCACTCATTCTTGTTGATCCATCTCTTGCCTACCTTCTAACTCTAGAGTTAGAGCATCTACTCTTCATTCTTTATTGTCTATCAGCTGTTTGTTTTTTATTTGTTCTTCTCCCATACAATACATCCCAAGTGCAGTTTCCCTCCCTCTGCTCCTCCCAGTTCTCCCCACACCTCCCCCTCCCCCACGTCCTCTCCTTCTGTTTCCCTTCAAGAAAGAGCAGACCTCCGAGGGATATGAACCATATCCCTCGCATAACAAGATACATTAAGACTAGGCACAAACCGTCATATCAGCCTGGGTGAGGCAACCCAGTAGGAGGAAAGGGTTCCATGAGCAGGCAAAAGAGTCAGAGATACCTCCATTCCCACTGTTAGAAGTCCCATAAAAACACCAAACTAATGACTATATGCACAGGATCTAGCACAGACCCATGTAGGCCCTGTGATTGCTCCTTCAGTCTCTGTGAGCAGCTATGAGCCCTTCATGGTTGATTCTGTGTGCCATGTTCTCCTGGGTGTCCTCAACCCCTCTGGCTCCTGCAATTATGAAGAATGTTTTTTTAAAAATCAGGATTTAAACAAGCAGCACAAATTGCTTTGGATTCTATGTTAGTATATTTTGAAGTTGTAACAGCAACCTGGAGACCCCTTCAAGCATCTGGAAGGCTTACTGTATCTGTCACCTCTATAAAGGTGAAGCTTTGAGGATGTTAGAAATTAATTCAGTTTATCACCTAGCTTCAGGAGTGATTTGAAATTAAGCAATAACATGTGAGAAGTGAGCACTTTTCATGCTTCCTGTGCTCACAAGTGCCCTGTAAATTCTGACATTGATATTCGTTCTGCTTGGGGTGTCTTATTTTTCAAGTCTTCATTTAAGAAGAAAAGGCAACCATGCTATAAATTCAAGTTTCAGTGGCATAGTTTTCCATTTTAAAAACTTGAGTATAGTGTTTCTGCTTGCTTTGTATCAACAGAAGGAATACATCAGCTGTGATTATGAGCTTCTTGTGACTTTTTTTTCCCACCAGATGTGTGTTAAAGGAGTTAGAAACACTGGGGAAGGAATTATATGGAGCCAAACTGATTGCACAGAAATGCCAGGTTCGAAATTGTCGTCATTTCAAGAGTGCAGTGAGTGGATCAGACTGTCTCCTGTCCATGGTGGATGAGGGAAATCCTCATCATTATTTTGTGGCAACACAGGTGATGTTACTTTTTAAAACCACAATTCTAACTGTTTCTATGTATACTTCACATGGAACTATTTATAAATCAGGAAAAATGAGTGGCAGGGATAAGGTAGTGTTGGAATTTTATTTATTTATTGGGACCTGTTAGACAAGGATTCTATCACTTAGCTATAATCCAGTTCCATGGTTGGACTTTTAAATGAAGCCAATAAAGACAGTTACTTGAACATGTAAGGAGAAAGCCTTAAGTACATGGAATTTCTTCTTCTAGAAGTTTCCTTCTAGAGGATGAGGAATTGTTGCAGTAATGGGCTGATTGATGCATGTTCACTGGGGTGGGGCAGGGCAGAGCACAGTCTCTGCATTCTGTATTCTTAACTGTTTTTTATGTTCCTGAATTCATGCTCTTCCTCAAAAAGTCATGGTACATATCCTTTAAGACTTCAGGCTGGGTGTTGGTTGGTGGCATACGCCTTTAATTCCAGCACTTGGGAGGCAGAGGCTGGTGAATCCCTGTGATTTCGAGGCCAGCCTGGTCTACAGAGCTACTTCCAGAATAGCTTTTAAAGCCACAGAGAGAAACCCTGTCTCAAAAAACAAAAAGACTAGCTTCATAGCTTCAGGAGGCTGGAGAGATGGATAAGTGGTTAAGAGCACTGACTGGGGTTCAGTTCCCAACACCCTCTTTTGGCCTCCAAAGCCATACATGTAGCACACAGATATATACACATGTAAACATCTGTACACATAAAATAAATAAACCTTAAGAAGGCTAGCAACACATGGAATGTGGAAGGCATTTAAAGGCTGGGAGGCAAAAGGAGAGGCTATCTGGGTTGAGACTAATACACATGCAGATTTGCTCAACCGTACTTTCGATAATTTCTGTGTCAGCTTACCACTCCAGCTTCTTCCCACATTGATGTTTCTAGCAAATATTTTATTATAAAAACAAGAGAAACTTCCTAGTACATTAACTTTTGCATTGGTTGATAGTTGAAGGCCCCAGAGAATTGACCAATCTACCCTAGACTGCTGTTGCCCACCTCTCTTCATTGTAGTTTTTGAGTTTCTTGTCCTCTATCATGAGATGTGCCTTGATTAACAAAACATACCGATCTGAGAAATAAAGTCCAGTCTCTTTTTTTCCATATAGCCTTACTGAACCTCTTATAAACTTATCAGGTACTAAGCTCGATTGAGAAACTAAATCCATTTTCTTTTTAATAGGATCAGAATTTGTCTATGAAAATAAAGAAAGCTCCTGGAATTCCTCTCATGTTCATTATTCAGAACACGATAGTCCTAGACAAGCCTTCTCCCAGGACAGTGGCCTTTGTGAAGGCGGTGGAGTCAGGCCAGCTGGTCTCAGTGCACGAGAAAGAAAGTATCAAGCAACTAAAGGAGGAGCAAGGCCTAGTGAGGAACCCTGAAAAGAGGAGGAGGAAGAGGAAAAAGAAGGTGGGCGGCCCCAATCCCCTCAGCTGCTTGAAGAAAAAGAAGAAAACCCCAGACACAAAGTCGCCTGCTTTAGAAAAGAAGAGGAAAAGGAAAAGAATCCGGAACAGATCTACCCCAAAAGTGCCTTCTGAGCAGCAGGGAGTATCCACAGCATGATGCGTGCTGTGGGTTCTCTAGAAGGCAGTGTAAAAACTACTGAAACTTTTTACAGCAAAGGACTAAACCTATTTTTGTAAATTCATTCTGGCACATACACTTTTGCTTAAAATTAAAGAGTGGTTGGGTTTCTTTATCAACATTCATCTTCAGTTGTTTTGAGAGGTGCTTTTTAAATTATTATAGTATTGTCTGCTGTCTCTCCACCGCCATCTCCCACATGGTATGTATATGTGTAATGTGTACATAAGTATGTGTTTGCATAGATGCATGAGCTTGTGTGTATATGTGTGTGTGAGAGAGAGACTGTCTCTGTTTGTTCATGAAGAGGCCAGAGGTCAACATGAGCTGTTGTCCCCTTCTATCATACCCTACCTTTATTTTTTGAGACAGGGTCTCTTGCAGAACCACTAACTTGCCAGTTAAGTAATACTGGTTGGCCATTATCGCCCAGAGATTCTCCTATCCCTTCTTTGGTGCTGTGATCCCCAGCATGCACTGCTGAACTTGACTTTTGTATGAGTCCTGGGATCTGAACTCAGCTCCTAATGCTAGTGTGGCAGGTAGTTACCTCCGTCTCCCTAGCACCCTATGTGATAGTTTTAAAGATCGGTCCTAAGGCCAGTGAGATGGTTCAATGGGTAAAGATACACGCTGCCTGGTGTGATGACCAAATTAACCCCTGAGACCACATGGTGGGAGGAGAGAGCTGACTCCCACAAGTTGTCTTCTGACCACCTGCATACCTGTAATAAGAACAGGTGAATTTACTTTGTAAAGGTCAGTGCTCAGGGGGAAAAAGGGACAAACCTAACCCCATTATTTTGTACAGTTAATATATGGCAATAAAAGTTCTGAAGGAGTTCTCAAAGGCAAAAGTAATTCCTTGAACCATACAAACCCTTCCGCATTCATTGGCTGACTTCCCATCTCCAAATTATGCAAAATCACACTACCTTTTGCCCTCAACAGATTGGAAGTCATGCTCATACACCTTCCAGTTTTCTAATATATAAATAAGTGTTATTTATATGTCACAAATTCATTTTTGGCATTGTTCATTGAATAAAACAGCATGTAGGGTGACTGAATTTGCTACATTGCTGTTCCTGAAACTAATAGCATTGTTAATTGTCTTCTGCATTGCTGAGTAACATAGCAAAGCCCTCACAAACTGATTTCCCGTATAGTTACACTCACCAGATAGTACCAAGTCATTTTTTCCCACAAAATATTTGGCTGTGTTCTACTGACATCCTCCAGTGTTGCTGGGTTTTCTACTGAGTTACAATGTGCCTTTCTCCAGAGAACTGTCTTGTTGATTTCCCAGACTTAATAACCATATATGTGTGTGTGTGTGTGTGTGTGTGTATGTATGGTATTCTCTTGTAATAAATCATAGAGCATTGCAGGATTCCATATTTTGAGAATCTGTATCTACTGCCTATATTACAACAACATGATTCTTAGCTGAGAGTCATGTCAAATTTCTTAACTCTTGTTTACATATTGTCCTGAGGAAAACCTGCCATTTTTCAGCCCGGAGTGTTCATTATGGTGTTGATTTTTGTTTTTAATAGCTGATCTGAATACTACCACTCAATGGCAAGAATCTGAAGTAATGATCTAAAACTGGTTATCCTGTTTAAATACTCAAATTATTCAATTCAATTAGGAATATTATGTCTGGGTCTATGTAAAATAAGATGGTTGTGATTTGACAAGATTAATAATAGTTTTCATGTGTAGGTAGAATGAAAAGTCTAAATCTTTAAAATGTTTTAAAATAGCCATTTTTATTATACTAACATCCTAAAAATTTTTAGTTTAGATGTAAATGGAGGAAAAGAAGGATTGGTTACACTCTTCCAAAACTATCAAAGAGCCCTAGCCCTCCTCCACAGAGATGGGGGAGGGTGTTGAGGGACCATTCCTGGTACTGTAAGCTCTGCTAACCACCTAGACCCAGGCAGTAGATGCACATGGAGAGTTTATTATCAATGGCTCCCTAAATTGACATAGCAGTGAACAACCTTTTCCATATCTGTACTCACACCTGTAAACTTAAGGTTCCTAACTTTGATCACAGAAGCCTCTCTGCAATAAATGATGGTGAACACAGAGACTCATGACTCCCCAAGATGCAGCCATGACAGTTGTGGGCCCAGTTCTAAAGGAGACATTATTACCATTCCTTCCATGCTCAGGGAACATTACAGAAGAGGCCTCAGGAACTGTACTAAGAGACAGAAGATGGGGTGAGGGACTGCAAAATGCCATTTGTTTTTCTAGACTGGGCACAATCACCGCAATTATTACCTCAAAACTGGTTACCTATCCTGGGCCCACCTAAGATGGGCCTTATTCATAGTCATGGGTTGGGGGAGGGGCTTGTGGAGCCCACCATTTACTTCTGAACCATTTGCTACAGATAGAATCTTAGAGAGGGGGAATCACTTTCATTGTGTACCCACTCTGAGGCCCCGTGCTTGAGTGGCTAGCTTCAAACAGAAGGTCTTGTGGGTCACAAGAAGAGATTTGTGGACAGGGGAGGCTATGGGCAAGGATGGTAGGAGTATGGAAGGCGAGAGTTAGCACTGTCCATTTATCAATTTTGTAAAATTGTCTAAGCACAATTTAAATTTGTTTTAAAAAATCCTGGCTAATTATAGTACATCTCAGTTTGGTTTCAGAGTACCCAGCATGTAATGTTAACGTAACCTTTTAAAAGTACTGCCACCCAAACACTACTTCATTATCGGAACATGGGTATTGTCTGCTAGGAGAGAACAAAATGAGTAACTATACCAACAGCCCCTGCAAATTTGAAGCGAAAGGTTGAAGAGTCTATGCCAAGTCTATTCACATGACATTTGCATTTTTCTAAATAAAGATCCTACCTGTTCCTCTACAACTGCTAATTCTGCCACATGGAAAAGATATCTGTGACCAGGATGTTGTATCTTACCAGCTGAGGTGAAGTCTAGGCATTGCTATGCTCTTTATATAATTCTTGATTAATTAATTTGTGTTTTTATATACTTTTTAAATTTTATTAATTTATTTTTTGCATTCATATCCCAGTTCCCCCTCCCTCCTCTCCTCCCACTCTCCGCTCTTCTCCACCCCACTTCCCATCTGCTCCTCAGAGAGGGTAAGGCCTCCCCTAGGAAGTCTATTAAGTCTGTCCCATCATCTTGTTGAGGCAGGACCAAGGCACCTCTCCACCACTCACACCCCTGTGTCTAGGCTGAGCAAGGCATCTCTCCATATAGAATGGGCTGCGCTACATCAGTTTGTGCATTAGAGTTAGATCTTTGACCCACTACCAATGGCCTGAGTAATTTGTGCAAACCATAGATTTAGATACTAAATTTGTTCTTTAAGAGAATTTGTGTGTGTGTGGGGGGGAGAGGCTATAGAAATAATTCAGAGGTTAAGATCACTGGCTGCTCCTCCAGGGGTCGAGTTCAATTCCCAGCAACCACATAGTGGCTCACAGCCATCTGTAGTGAGATCTGGTGCCCTGCATTGCAGGTATACATGCAGGCAGAACACTGTATGCATGATAAATAAGCAAAACTTAAGAGAGAGAGTTTGTGGTTTAGTGGAATATATGAACAAGACCAGATTTGGGAAGATGTGGTGTTACAGTGCTTGCCAAGCATTGGGAGACAAGAATTCATCTCCTGCAACACACACTCACACACACACACACACACACAGACACACTCACACACTGACACACACACACTCTCTCTCATGTAAGACACACTCAGAACAGAATAACATTTATTTTAATAGCAATGTAACAAGTACTTCTTATTCTAGAAACCTTATAAAGCAGAGCTTTAACTAATGTAGACAAAAATAGTAAGACTGCTTACTATAGCTGCCATTGCTTAAGCTCCAAATACCAGTTAGTCTACATTTCAGCTTGTTAATTGGGTCCAATTACTAGTCCCCCATTCACCTGGGGAGTGATCAGGCGATAGAGGAACTGAGTTGTAAGTCGTCTTGAGTTCAGTAAGTGCAACAGGTTTGTGAGCTCCCTACTGTTTCCCCTGTATTCCAGAATTTATAATTGTTAGACACATTTAGAAAGTGCATGTGTCATCATTCATATTGTCTTCCAGACTTAAGAGTCACTAGGCTAGGTAAAGTGAAGCGGAAGCAGTTGGGATTTCTCCTCTCATGAGAAAAGTAAATCAAGCCAGGTGGTGGTGGCACCCGGCTTTAATCCCAACACCCGTGAGGCAGAGGCAGGTGGCTTTCAGAGTTCAAGGTCAGCTTGGTCTAGGGAGTGAGTTCCAGGACAGCCTCCAAAACCACAGAGAAACTCTGTTTCAAAAACAAACAAAATGAGAGGGGGGGGGGGGGTAAAAGCTAAGCCCTCAATTGGCAGAGTAGCCGAGGTCCCCACCAAGGCTGCATGCTTGAGTAAGGCAGATGTAGTGATTTAGTGAGAGTAGACAGGCAAAGGAGAACGAAGAATCCACCATATTCAATACAGTAAAATACTAAATTCTTAACACATATAGATGCAAAAGAGATGCAATGAGAGAACAATCAACAAAACTGTGGTGCCTAAGCAAACCTTTTCTCCTTTATATTTTTTCTCTCATTTATTTGTCATAGGAAGGAGAATTCTGATTGACAATCATGTTGTTATTTTTTTCCCTCCTGATCTAATGCAGAGGTTTTAATAGGCCAATCCTGCTCTTTGGAGCTTGGGTAAAGCAATCAACTCTCCCTAAACGACAATGGAGACTGTCCAGGGACAGTTGACCAAACAAACCCAAAGGGAGTTACCAATATCAAGACAGTCAAAGACAGCCCAGGCTAACGTCACACCTGACACTTGTCTTCACAAGTTGTGAAACACTGTCTGGACTGTTTCTTCCCTTCAGAATCCCTCTTAGTTGCCAGGTAAAAAGGCAAGCAGTAGAACGAGAGAGAACACGTAGGTTGTAAAGGGTATGTGTGGAAAAGTAGAACAATGACTAACACTAAAAAGACCACACAGCAACTAAAACTGGGCACAGACTATAAACAGACACCATTACAAAGAAACTTGCAAATGGCTAACGAGCACATGCAAAGATTCTCCACATTTTTAGCCACCAGAGAAGTGGAAATTAC